CTAAGTACCCAGGGATTGGCCCTAAACCCTAAACCCTAAACCCACACAATGCCCCTAAGTACCCAGGGATTGGACATGACCTCCTTCGCCCGCCTTCTCGACGACGAGCTCGGGCCCCTCAAGATGTCGGGGTTTCTTCAACTTGTAACTAGGGTTTAGGGTTTTAGGGGTTTCCTTAAAGGGTTTAGGGTTTAGGGTTTAGGGTTTCTTCAACTTGTTTAGGGTTTTAGGGGTTTCCTTAAAGGGCCCCAGACAAAGAGCTCACAACTTGACTATTATCGAGATCTTGGGTCTCTGTTGGGCGAAGGCGTGTTCCAGATTTGACAAGAACAACAATGCTTGCATCGGCAGCACCTGCTTCCCGCTGCTTCTGCCATGCTGAAGCTATTTGGCCGCGCTGTAGGCTTTATGTGTAGGGAGTATTCTGGTGATATGAAGGGCCGAATTCGAAAGCTATGAGCACACAGATGTTATACGTTGCAGCCAGGAGCTACTAAGAGATGTACCAGGGATGTGCAGACCTTGCTAGAGGTTTGGGTGCATGACGATGGTGTTTTCCTTGTAGACCGTTCTGTCCCGGAGACTGAGCACCAGACATGTCATGCTAGGACTTGCCATTGCTCATGCATTCTTTCTCGTATGGTGCCTCCGGAATGGCATCATACCCTAAACCCCATGCCAGAATGCCAGCATGTCGAGTCCTTCCAGGGGTAAGCTCGAGGGTGCGATGCAAGTCCTCTTGCAAAGCGTGTCATAAAGGTGCCTTCATAATTACCTATACTATTTTTGGGGCTTCCTTATTATATAATATACCCCAAAAGAGCCCTAAACCCTGAACCCTGAAACCCTCGAGTCCTAAAGCCCTTGGCCTGTCTGGTTTAGACCTAAACCCTAAACCCTCAACCCTAAACCCTAAACCCTAAACCGTTAGAGTTCAGGATGAAAGCAAGGAATCCCTATTTTGGGACGTAGTCGTGCCCCACCGACATAGCGTCGTTGAGGTTAGGATCTATAGGAGGTTCAGGTTTAGGGTTTAGGGTTTAGGGTTTAGGGATGGAAACGAAGCGCCGTACCTAAAACCTCAACCTCGGACGAAACAAGTTTAGGGTTTAGGACTTGCGGTTTACAGCAAACCCTACTCAGGGACGGGTGCCCCCTCAGCGACGAAGAGCTTGCCGCCCTTCTGCGCAACTCTCCGGAAGATGAGATTGGAAGTATGATTTTGGGATTGGTTGAGGCCTAGGGTTTATTTTCGAGATAGGAAGTAAGTATGGTTTGAGACTGGGGGTGGAGGTTCCGAAAATAAGGATCAGATAGTTTAAAAGGTACGGAGAACAGAGGATGGAGACAATAATCCATGGAATGATACACTACATTGTCTTAAGCCTAAATCCAAAACCCATGACCCACAGCTGCAACCCTACATCCTAATCCAACATGTAAAAACACCCTATATGTGTGACACCTTAGCGCACACTTTTAAAGCCATATGAGTCTTAAACCTGTTGCTAAGTGTAAGAGCATATACTACCCACACCAAAGTCCTTGTTGCAAGGACCCGTCGTTTGCACAAACCCTAAACCCTAAACCCTAAACGAGACTACAAATTGATTTCGGCTCTTTGACTTCCATAGATCGGATACGGCTTCGTCGGGTGGGTCGGCAGTCGATTGTTCAGGCCCCTGTGGTAAACCCTCATAATCCCAGTAACCCTTCAAGGAAGCCCTGTAAAGGAACCCCTAAGCCCTAAACCAGTTCTGCGACAGGTTTTAGGATTTTGCGTGGAGTTCAGACTGGGCAGGCGAGGTTGGGTGCTAAGGTTCAGAGCCGTGTTCTTGCGCTGTGGGTAGTTCTCTGAATTAGGTTCCCTTTTTTTGGCCCCCAAGATGGTACGGCACCCTTACAAAAAGGCTCCTTAAGGAGACCCTAATTTGGACAACTGCCCTTGTGGTATTCTGGATATGTGTTGTCAGCATTCAGCATAGAGCCGGAACCTACCTTGCGCTGTGAACCCTCAACTAAACTGGCCCAAGACCCAAACCCCACACTCTCTCAGTCAAAAATGCCCGATGACCCCAGACAACATGATTGAAAAGACAAATAAAACGAGACTGAAAATCTAGACTAGAATCCTACACCCTACCCCAAACCAAACCCTAAACCCTAAACTCTAAACCCTAAACCCTAAACCCTAAACGCTAAACCCTAAACCCTAAACTCTCAACCCTAAACCCTAAACCCTAAACGCTAAACCCTAAACCTTACTGGCGACCCAAGGCGACTCGAACCAGCTCCCACGGGCTGGCAGCCAGGAGCCCAGACCGCTACGGCCCAGTTGCTACAATGATGCAATATGGGGGTTTAGGGTTTAGG